CTCGTGCCTCCCACCACCCCCAGGAAGCAGGCAAGCATTAGCGCATTTTTTCATTAGCGCCCAGGCTGATGAGGAACCTTCGGGGAGAGGATGTTGCAGTTACAGCCAAGAAAAAAAAAAAATCAAATTAACTTCAGGGTTTAGAGCATGAGAGGGGCTGGAGAGGGTCTGGGGGCAGATCTGCCTCCCCCCGGTCGCTCGCTGGGAGGAAGAGGAGGGCAGGCGTGTGCTGGTACAATCCCATAATACTCCTCCACACGGCTGCGGTTTGCAGCTGAGGAACTGCAATGGAGCGCATCCATCTGTGCCCACGGTGATTTCAGCTCTGCCATCTGGGGTGGGGGGCTGCCCATCCTTTCCCTGCGTACCCCTCCTCGGGCTGCTGTCCCCAACCATTTGTCACTGTGTCACCTCAGTTTTCTCTTGGGAAATGGTTTTAAAGGCTCAAAACTCCTTTTCCTCAACCATTTCATGCCCCTAGAACTTTTTCCACTGTCTGGTGCTTTAATACAAGTTCTCTCTTTCCTAGAAACCTTTCTCGAAGGGCTTTTCTCTTGGCTGGCCCTTGGAACCCCATGGCACAGGGCACCTTCAGCAGACAGGTATCAGAGCAGATACGTTTCAGCTGTGCCTCGTTTTCTCCCCTCTTCTTCCAGCTGCTGCCCTCCCAGCTCAGCATTTCCCCACTTTTTCCAAGGACTCGACTCATCCTCCTTGGGAAGCAGGTTGATGCTCAGCTGCTTTTTGGGGTAACGCTTTGTAGAGCAGGAAAGCTGAGCTGCAAAGAAATCCCAGACGGTTCCAGCAAGGAAGGTAAGGTGGGGTTTTTCTGTATTATTTTTAGGAGGAGGTCTGTAAGGAATTGTTCCTGGGGTGCTGCATTCTCTCTGTGCTTGGGCTTCACATGGTAGCATCCTTTGAGCTCCTGATGCTTTAGGTTGGGTGAAGCTGCTTGTGTTTGTGGAACCCCCTCTGCTGCTGGGGCTTCCTTGGTGTTACAGGACCTTTTTGTATCAGCCCTTTGGACCACATCCTGCTCCCCAAGAACCATCAGAGGTGAGCAGCGATGAGTGTGCAGCACAGCAACATGCCAACTTCTTGGTTTCCTTCCTTCCTCCTACCTGCTACCGCTGATGCGGAGATTATAAAAGAGCTCCTGGCTATGGCTTGGTGGCTTTTATGGCTCTGCTGGAGGACAGCCCATCAACTGGTTTGCTTCTGTGCTGTTCCAGCCTCGGGGCTTCCCTGGGGGTGCTGGCTTGCGTGCGTGGCTCTTGGCAGGGTTGGGCTCGGCTTGTCCCTGCAGCCTCGCTGGGGGTCGGGTTTGTGGCTGCACGAGGAGTTATGTGCGTGTGGTTGCAACCTGGAGAAGTACGGGGTTGGGAATGCACTGAGGGGTTGTTCATGGTCCTCGGGTGGATGGAGGGCTGGGCAGGGCTCTGGAGTGTTTCTGCACCATCAACTCAATGGTTCAGAGGGACACGGGGACGCTGGGGTGGCCCTTGAGACCCTTGCGATGCTCGTCTGTGCAGATGGCAAGATGCTGAGGCTGGGCGTGCAGCCATCAGCGATGCGATGGGCAGCAGGTCAGGAGCAGCTTGTGTCCGTGGATGCTCAGCATTGGGTGTTGGATTGGTAAAAAAGAGTGGAGACAGGCTGCTGTGTCCTCCCAGCCCAGCTTTTGGGGGGGACCAGACCATCATCCCCCTCCTCGTGGCTGCTGCGGGCTGGGAGATGATGCTCAGAGCTCGTAAGGGCTTTGGTTTGTGAGCTCCTGACCCAAATCTCCCATCTACAGGCACTTTGTATAATGCCAGGCACCCCTAAAAGGGTCCCTGGGTACCTGGGAGCCCACTTCAAAGTCTCTGGGGACCTTCCAGCAGAGCTTGGCCGTGCCGAGTGATGCTGCACCCTTGCCTTGTCTTGACTCCTCCTCCACCCCTCCAAAAAAACTCAATAACTGACTATACGTGGTTGCCATGGGAATGGGAATTGGCTGCTCATCTTGATTTTTTGGCGGACTCCAGGAGGCTTTTGTTGTTTGGTTTTTTTTTTTTTTTTTTAATAGCAGCCACGAGGTGTCCCAGGTTGTGAAAGCTGGTTGACTCAGCACACGTCGAACTGGCCCGCGGGATGTTGGGCTCTAAACATCCTGTCTGAGGGCCACCTCCCTGTGGTGGCTTCTCCCTTTATCTGCCTCTTCTGAGTAACAACCACTCCTCAGTGCCCCATTTGGGAGAAGGACGGGCAGCAGTCGCAGGTAAACTCTTCTACTCGTAGAATTCCACCAGCGAGCAGCTGTGAATGGGATGGATGTGGCTGCTCGAGCTTGGGAAGAAGGGACGTGGGGACACTCCAGCTCTGCAGGGCGAGGGTTTAGTGGGATGATGGCCACCCATGGCTTTAGTTCCTTTTTCTAGAGGGTTACCAGGTTTTGAAGGAGCACCATGGCAGAGGATTTGCAGGAGGAGAAGGGGCTTGTGCCTCTTCTGTTGGGTGAGGGCTGTTGGCACACGAGAGATGTGCCTGGGTAGCAAGGATGGAGGAGAATCCATAAAGAGAAGAACCTTTAAATGTCCACAGCCAAGCTGGCTCTCCTGGGAGGCTGCTGGCCCTGCAAGGGTGAAGGTGGCACCCATGGGTGCTGGTAGGGGATGCTCGTGCATCCGTTTGCTCAGCATCCTTCGCATCACTTGTCTCACGCGCAGGGTCAAAATCTTCGACGGTGATGAACCCAGAGCTGTGATGGCTCCTTGGGGAGAGCCTGGAAATTGGGGAAAAATCCTTCCTGAGCTGAGCTCGGGGAGCCTGAGAGCAGCCAACATGAGGCATCATATGGAGAGCAGGCAGCTCCCGTGAGGTTATTAAGCAAAAGCATCGCAGCCTGGGAGCTGCGCGGGGAGGACAGCTCAGGTAATAACTTGTGATTGCTGCCGTATTTCAAGTCCTCTGACAGTCAAACTAGCTCACAGGAAAAATAAATAACCCGCGTACCTCTCCTCAACCAGTGCTTTTTTCCCCGGCTGCGGCTCACTCGGAGCTTGATCAGCTTTTATGTGAGAGTGGAGCTGAACAGCAGGGCTGGGGGACGCTGGCGGGTGACAGGTATGGGGTTTGGGCTGGGCCAGGGGCTGTACAGATGTGGGGGGGTTGTTCTTCTGCGCCTCGAGTGCATGAGTTGTTGCTTGGAAACGTGTCTGGTTTCTCTGCAGAATTGTGACTGTTTTATGAAAGAAGGTGGTTTGGGGATTTTTGGGTTTTTTTGGTTTTTGGGGTTTTTTTGTTTTGTTTTTTTGGGTGGTTTTGGTTTTTTTGTGGATGTTTTTGTGGGTTTGTTTGTTTTGGTTTTTTTTTTTTTGAGTGAGCTATATCCAAGTTTCTGCTTGACCCAAGGATGGGTTTGGGACATCCCTGCTAAGTGTGAGATGCCCCAGGATACGGGATGGATGCTGAAGCACCGTGTCCAGGCGGTGGGAAGCAAAGGGGACTCCTGACCACTACCACAAGCCTTGCTGAACTGGGCTGCTGTGAAGCAACAGGGTCCCCAGCAGCAAAAAGAAGAAGAGGGAGGCTGCTCTGCTGGGGAGAGGGATGGTCAGGGTAGGACAGCCCAAGGACAGGTCGGAAATAGTGGTCTGGGGTCTGCTGGTGATGGAAGTGAAGGGGGGATGCTTGATGAATAAGGGGCAATAAATCCCTGGGGTAAAGCTCCAGGTTCCCCGTGTCCCAGAGATGCGATGGATGATGACAGCCTCCAAACCCAAATGCCGCGTGTGCCCACGCAGGGCTGGGACGGGTCGACCGACTCCGGTTCTGCAGCCAAAACCCAACTGGGGATGTCTGGCAGTGCTCTCCCTCACCTCAGGCTCTGGCCACGCCACATCCTTCCCTTATTTTGCAAAGCCTAATTGCTTTCTAGTGTGGGAGGACTCGGAGAACGTGCTGGAGTTGTTCATCCAGCCTCTGCAATTCGCGTTGGTATTTATAAACACGGCGAGGATGTGAGTTGTGATGCAAGGGCACGGTGGTGGGGCAGCTTCAGGATGAGTAATCCCTGCTTCTGTGGATATCCCAGCTGTAGAAAAGGACCAGAAAGCTCCTGAGGGAGAGACCTCCTTAGGTGGTAGATGCCTACAGAGAGCAAGGAAAGAGGTCAAAGAGACATCCCAAGGTGACATCAAAAGCTCACTGCTATAAGCATTTAGGTCACTACTGCCTTCTGTGCTTGCTGCTATAAGATTTTTTTTTCCCCAACAATTTGCATGTGGGCTTATATATTTATATAAAAAATTATTTTTTAAAAAAATTTGCTCATGGCAGCTGGTCATCCGCTCCTCTCCATCCCGGCTGGGAACCCGTTCCTCTCCATCCCGGCTGGTACCCAGTTGTGTTGGTCCATCTTCATGCCAACCCAATTTTCATGCCTTTATCCTTCGAGCTCTTCCTCCTGGAGATGAAATCTCTTCCCTTGTGTGAAATCACTGCTCACGTGTGACACAAGGTTGTGGGGAATATGCATGAGGCTCCTTTTGGAAACGGTCGTGGTTCCTGGGTCGCAGCCGGTTGGGCTCAGCAAAGCCCTGGCTGGATTCATGCCCTGGTAATGATCTGGTTTGGAGGCAGTTTATGTGCCTAGGAAATAATTATCATGCTGCTTTTTATTAGCAAAATACTTTCTGGTTCCTAATAGCATGTTGCTGTTACACTTCCTTGGGCGCTAATGTATTTTTCTCTGGCACGACGAAGTCCTGCTGGTTGTGCGCTTGCAACCACCTACATGAACACGGACATATGTATATACAGTGCTGCACGGCGGCAGGTTCTCCGTGGTGATGGCACATCTCTGCTATTGCCTGTTTGCAGCTGATGGAGCTGAGCACACCCCCTCGGTCAGGATGCAGCTCCCTGGGGATGCTGAGCAAGCCCAGCATCGCTCTTGGGGGTAACATCAGTCCGTCCCCAGGCACTGTTTGTCCTTGCAGGTCCAGCAAGCCAGCCCCATGCCGACGACCTTCCTCGGCAGCGCCCTCCGGGGCACCTTCTTCTTCGTTTTTGGTCTCTGGTGGTCTGTGCGATACCCCCTGAAGTATCTCAGGCGGAAAGCCAATGCTGAGGGCCAGCCGAGCCATGGGGTCCGGCGCGTGGAGGTCTTGGAAGGGGCCGTCAAAGCTTTCTTTGCTCTGGCAGGTAAGAGATGATGGGTCTTTGTCCCAGTATCCTGTCCCATGAGACTGGGGCTGTTTGTAGTGGGGAAATGGCTGTGGGTGGAGTGGGAGGGCTTGGGGACACCTTATGGCATCATCTGTGATGGGACCTTCACAAGTACCACTCTGAGTTCACCGTTGCAGAGAAAGATTTTCTGCAAGCTTGTCCTTTCCCCCGTGTAAAATTGTGATTTTTCTGCTCTCTGCCCAGGGATACTGGTGGAGCAGTTTGTCCCCGCTGGTCCCCACCTGCAGCTGTACAGCCCCAAGACTCACAGCTGGACGGACCTCACCCCCTGGCACTACACCACCGTCTACCTCTTCTTCCTCCTCTCCGGCATCGTGGACGTTGCCTCGCACTCCCCGCTCAAGCTGCCGCTCGGCTTAGATCGGCTCACGCTGGCCGTGGCGCTGTTCGTCGAAGGTGAATCATACACGGAGGGGAGGGGAAAGGCTGTGGGGGTAACACACGGGGGGTTTTAATTAAAAAAAAAAAAACACCAAAAAAACCACAATAACAAAAAAAAAAACAAACCCCAGAGCATCCTTTTCTAACACCATGTGCATCTTGGTGGCAGGTTTGCTCTTCTGTTGCCATGACTCCAGCGACGCTGCGCTGGACCACCACCTCCATTCCCTGCTGGCCGTGGCTATCTTTGCTGGAGCCCTCTGTGCCCTCCTGGAGGTGTTCCTCCGAGACCACATCATCCTGGAGACCTTCAGGACCAGCTCCTTCCTCCTGCAGGGCTCCTGGCTTTGGCAGGTGGGTGTGCTTGGAAGGCAAGCGGTGGAGGGATGCTCTGCCCTTTCCAGCTCTTCTGTTGGGGTTAGATGTGTTGACTGGTTGGAATATCTTTGTGCCAGAGTTGTCATCGTGGAGATAAACACATGTAATATATGCAGCATGGGCAAATCTGGGGTCTAAATGGAAATTAGAGCCCTCAAGGGTGGGAAACCACAATTGTGAATTTTTGTTATTTTTATTAGGTCCAATTTCTTCCTCTCTTTGTTCTTGAAATATATTGGAAACCTCTCCCAACACCACCCAGCTTTGCATATAGGGAGAATGCACAGCCTGGCTATGTAGCCTTTGGGTCGTTGTCTTTAACTGGGGATGCTGGGATGCACTGGGAGCCCTAAGGCTTGTCTGAAGAGCATCTGTCTCCTCCTGAAACACATCCTCATGTCAGTCTGGGGTGACAAGGATGCCTGGGGGGTGCTGAGGGGTGGTCCATGTGTTTCTTGGGATTATTGTACCTCTAGTCCATAGTCAGCTTGGATAAAAACAGGAGGAAAAGTGAGGAGGGATGTGCTGATGCCCACTCTCACTTCTGTCTGCCACCAGATGGGGTTTGTGCTGTCCCCTCCATGGGGAGGACCAGGCTGGGACCAAACCGACCAAAACAACTTCACCTTCCTCACCATGTGCTTCTGCTGGCACTACGCGGGCGCTCTCACCGTCCTGGCCGCAAACTCCGCTGCGTCGCGCTGGTACGTGGGGATTGGGGGTCCCGGGGGGGTTCCAGCACCATGCACAAGCTGGGATGACCAAGAGTAGCACCTAGACCCAACGCCGCCCTGGGAAATCCAGCCACCTATCCTGGGATAGGACAAACGGGTGTCCATGGATGCTCGATGGATGGGCTGGGGTGACCTGATGGCTCTCGCTGCCCCCAAATCCCTGACTGGTGTCACTCTGTCCCCTGCAGCTGCAACGAGTCCTGCCAGCTGAAATTCGGGGACATCGACGTGGAGCTGGACTGCGGCATGTGCATCCGCAAAGGCAAGGAGAGCTCCAGCGGCGCCCTGCTGCCCGAGAGCCCCTCGGATGACAAATGAGGCCATGGTGGGCACGGGAACGTCTTCCCTGCTGCAGCTTAGAGCTCTTGAGATGAGGTTTTTAATTAATCCTGATTAACTACACCGGCACTCGATGGTGGAGCATCAGAAGTGGGAGGCAGGAGACGCAAAGCCTTTCCCGCAGCATCCCTTGGACAGTAGCAAGAGCGACCCAGGCTCGGCTGGGAGGGAGTTTTTCATTTTTCAGGCTGTGAACTGCAGGACTGGTTTGCTGGCGGAGTCCAACTGCTGTGGCTGAGTTGGCTAAATTCTTTTTTTATAAATTTTTTGGCTTCTGCAGAAGGGAGCCAAACCAGCGTTCAACGCTCCCGGTGGCTGTCGCTCACTCTGGTGTTAGCGGAGGGGTTTTGTACAAAGCTTAATGTGCACAGAGTAAACATGTTTGTCAATAAAGTCCTTAAAGAACCGTCTCGATGGATCTCTTGAATTTGAGACTGAAGGCACGGGTAAGGCCGTGTCCAGCTTTAAACTGGTGAAGGGGGTGGATGAAATGCCAGGATGGGACTGTGGGGGATTTCATCTGCCTGCAGAAGGGGTGGGTGGGTGGTTTGGGTTTTTTTCCTTGGGTCTTTCACTGGGTTTGCAGCAGAACAGCCCGTGGAGATGCTTCCTGCTGGCAAGATGAAAAACTAATTGAAAAGTTGTCATTAAATGGAAAGAAAAGCGAGTTCGTCAGAAACCTCATCACAGGTTTGTAAAACGCTTGTGCCATGTCTTTGACCAAGGGCTGGGCTAAGTGAACAGCTTGATTATTATCTTTGAATGCTTTTGCTGTGCTCCTCCCTGGAGACAGCTCTAAACACTTCACTGGTGCTCTGCACAACTCCAAAAACTCAAAACAAGCGTTGGGAGGAAAGAAAAACCCTCCCTGCCTTAAAGCGGTTGCGATTCCCAGCCCCACAGGAGGTCCCTGGAAGGGTGAGCACCTCACATTTTTATTTTCATTATTTTTATTTTCTTTTCTTTCTTTGGAGCAGGGCTGGAGGGAGACCACTGCTTTGTGCTGCTGGCAGCTGTCAAGACAAGGACCTTGAGGAGCAAAGAAGCGAGGGTGAGCGCAGCACAGCCTGGCACGAGAACAGAGCGGAGCCGATTCTCTTGGGGCTGGCACCGCATCATCAAACGCAAGGTGAGGAATAATCCTCTTCTCCAGCGCAGCCATTTGGCTGGGAATAATCCTGCAGCTGGTGCAGGCTCAGGGAGAAATGTCAGTTGGAAGGGATGGCTGGAGGGCACCTTGCCTGGCTCCTGCTGCAAGGGCCAGCGCTGAAGTCAGATCAGGTCCCTGCACAGCTGAAAATACCGCTGCCTTTTGCTGCAGCAGCTCCCTGTCCCCTATTCGTGGGGTTTGGGGCACAAAATTTAATATATATTAAGTCAGTAAAGTCTGAAGGTGAAGTCCTACTCCATTTGAACAGTGGGCTGCAGAAAAAATGATGGTTTGTTTTTTTTCACCCCCCTCTGGGCAAATATATTTATCTGGGTGCAGCTCTTTTTTCTGGGGATGCAGTTGTTGAGATGCTGAACTTCTGCATTGCTTGGGGAAGCTGAGAGGAGGGTGGCAATTCTTAGTATCTGTTCTTTTGATGTAATGGGATAATCTTCTTTCCAGGCTTTGAGATTTTTGTCTCGTCCGGTGAAGATGTGGTTGTGTACCTGAGTTTTCAGCAGCCAGGATGAAGGCAAAACTCCTGCAGCATCTTTGGAGAAGGGCTCATTGCCATGTGCATGCTTCCATGCTGGGGAAATTGCAGGCAAAGTGAGGGTCTGGGATGCATCCATGGTGCTTTGTTTCGTTACTTTTTTGTGCATTTAGTGCCTTCCTCTGCTCATTATTCCAGCAGGATTTTTTTCTTACTGCTGTCTCCTTGTTTTGCAGGGTGATGCTTCAAGAGCTTCAAGCCAAAGAGGAGGAAAGAAGTCCTTATATTTTACTTTCAGGTCTATTGGCTGAAGTTTATTTTGAAAAAGAAGAGAACACTTGAATCAGGGGGGTTGAATCAGTGTGGGTATCCAGCAGAGTGCTCCAAATTGGGCATCACTTGCTCTCGGTTTAGATGGTGTGTTTTTTCCTGCACTGCCAGTTAATATCTTTACAGGAGACTTGGACGTTGCCTTATTTTTTGAGATGTTCAAGTGTTCTCTGCTTTTATAGACTTTATAATCAGCAAGGGATGTGGGACTGGAGTGAGTCCATCCAGCCCTTTACAGGTAGGGTTGAAATGTCTTTATGAAGAAAGACAGAAGCTTCAGCACAGAAATTATGATTTTTTTTCATGAAGGACTTAGAATTCCATGTCCTGGGACAACAAAGCAGAGGGGCCAGGAGCATGCTGTATGTGCTGCTATGTTTTTACTGTATAGAGCTGAATAAAAATGCAGGACTTTAGTCTCTTTTTTCAGAGGGTGCCCCCTCTTTTTTTTTTTTGGTTGAAATTTTAGGGAAGGGAACCCCTTTTCTTTTCCCCCCATAAAATTTTTGGAAGGGGGGGGCTGCAACTTCATTTCTAGAATACTATATGTCAGGGTGAAACATATCTCGTGGGTTTGGGTTTTTGGCTGTGGGGGGGGTTGTTTCAGGTTGGGGTGGGTTTTTTTATTTTTAGGTTTATTTTTTATTTTACTTTTATTCTTTATTTTTTATTCTTATTTTGGTTTTATTTTATTTTTTTATTTTGATTTTTTTCCTTTATTTTTATTTTATTTCATTTTCTATGTTGTGTTTTACTTGAACAAACTTCAAGTTGGTAATTCCTTGCAGCGAGGTACATGCCTTCATCTCCCTCCAGCCACAGCTCTTTGCATCACCTGCGTGAAGTCAAAAGATGACATGTACCAATTCCCTGGTTCTCTTTTATTTTGAAGCTTCTCCACTTATAGCTGGCACCTGTTGAATCACAGCAACAAGAGAAAGCATGCAGCACTTAGAATAAAAAAACATACAACACTTAGAATAAAGCATACAGCACTTAGAAAAAAAAATACAGCACTTAGAAAAAAACCATACTATAGAGAATAAAAGCTTTCTGTCACAACATGAACAGATACAGATTTCTTTCCTTGCTCACTCTAAGAAAACAGCTTTGCAGTCCTGTTCATCCACCCCTTGCTGTCAGAGGGACAGTACAGACCCCAGCGCTGCACTTAAGCCTGGTTCAACCTAGAAACTAGCTTCTGCAACAGATGAATCAAGGAATACGTGAGCTCACAACAGTCTCAGCCCCTGACCTCAAGTGATAATGAATTAATTAGTTAATTTAGCAAACTGCTGCAGCTGTGGCTCCAGGAACTCTGCTGTACAGTCCATCCCCACTCCTTTGTCTCTGTGCTTCCCTACAGAACAACAGCAGCAAGCTGAAACCGCACACATGCAGCTGTGATGACTTGATATTCCTTCAGTCAATAACAGAACCCAGCGGCTCAGCTCTTTCCATTCTTCACTGCATCCCCTTGGAAGGACAATGTCAATGCTCAGTGTTAGGCCAACTTCTCCAGTTGCATCTTCCAAAGGTTTCTGTAATAAAAAGTTTTGAGATGCAGCATTAATTTAAATCAGAACTACAACACCGTGGCAGCACAATGCAAAAACACTTAAACCCAAAAAAACCCCAAAACACTCTGAAACCCAAAACACACTTACAACACTTAAACCCAAAAACTCTAAAAACTCAAAAAACACTTATACTCTAAAAACCAAAAAAAACACTTAAGCTCTTAAACCCAACAACCCAAAAAACACTTAAACACTTAAAAATCACTTAAAACTTTTAAATCCAAACCCACTTACTTAAACTCAAAAACTCAAAACCACTTACTCAAACCCAGACCCCCCAAAATACTTACTTAAACCCCAAAACACTTAACTACACAACTTTAACTACACAAGTACTGGCCAGACGTAGAACAGTACATGATCTAAGACAACTATTTTGAATTTAAGAGGGAAGGGAGGGAAGAGCAAAGCTAAATCAGTTTCATGTAAGGTGACATTTTCAGAATAGACCTTTTTAATTTAGGTGACACTGCTCCTCTTAAAAAGGTCAATGGAGGAGTATTTTTCTAAAGTCAGAGTTCTGAAATGCAGCTCTCTACGACACTCAGCAAGTCTTTACCAACCAACTACTCCACAGTGCTTCCGATCCTCTGATTTTGAGTATCTTTTCACAATGAAACTTTTGTCACTTCCCCCAACTACCCTCTGGCCTCTTCACTGGGCTAGCATTTGCACAGCTGGTAACAGTGATATTTAAGAGATATTTTAGCAACGATATTCAAGCGAGTAATTTCAAACATTACCTTTCAGAAGCTGCAGTCAAAATCCATTATAAAGAATCGATGTGAGCGCTTGGCAGCCTGCGCCAAAGCATGTAACTAACAGACTTTGACTCCAGCCTGATGTATTTATTTTGTGGGACTAATAGAATTTATCGAAGGAAAAATCTAATACCCAAATTCAATTCTGGAATTCAATCCACAGCCTCTGTAATTTGTTTCTCTTTCAGGTCATCCTACCTGAGGGTGCAGTTCACCAAACAGCTTTGGACTGAAGATTTGCTCCGGCATCATTTAAATGAAATTTAGTTTAAAATTTTTTTTTCAAGTAGTTGTGACAAGCCAACAGACGGCATTTTCTAGGACAGCATCTGTTCTTTCCTGCAGAGCCTGAATAATTTAACCACACCATGGAAGTTCCAGTGGCACCAAGGAGCTCACCTTTGAGGACAAGCAGGACGCACAATTGTTTCCTATTCAAAATTGCTAAGCTTTCGTGTTTTCTCTTACCTCTCCTCATTCAGACCCATTGGGAACTGCTCGGATCAACGCAAAGGACGATTAATTCTGTCTCTTGGCCTCCTAAAACAGCATTCAAATGGCGATGACTCTCCGGTTATTTCACAGAGACGTGAGAGAGGAGGAATTTGCGCTCAAGGTCACACTTCAAAGAAGGAAAATGAAGAGGAATGACACAGGAGCAGACA